TCAAGTCTACGGTAGCTCACGAGCAGCTCAGCGTGTAACCACCCGAGTTGATGAAACACGTCAGAAATGTGATCAAATTTGTGCCGGCCGCTCACAACACGAGCTCAGAAATTGAACAGTTTTTGAATGTGGTGCATTTCTGTTATAACGCAGCGGCAGGACCCGTAGATGGAGATGCAGTAGCGAATTGAGCTAGCCACAAGCGCGTTCACAATGTAAGCAACGGTCCGGCAGGTATGACATACTTGGAATGGGACAGCGATAATAAAAGACCGGTACATTTGCCAACCAGCTGGCTAACATCATCCCCGAACGTCAGATGTCGGTCCACTGTGAGGCCGAGATTTTTAACTGTGCGGCTTTCAGAAATGATCGACTGGCCAAACTTAATCTGAGCTGGCTGAAGGTCCTGCAAAGCTATTTTGGTGCCATGAACGTTTTCGCTTGATTGATTTTCATGCCATAGTGTACTGAATATTTGTTACAGAGTATGATGGAGAGGTCGCAAAATTGACCTGACCTTAGGTCACCGATATCGAAATTCCGAGATACCTAAACATTTTGTACATACTGTTACTCTTATCAATCGCTGAAAGTTTCAAGGCGATCCTTCAGTCGCTGTAGCTATGACGAGGATTGAAACTTTTTCTGAGGTGAGGTCACTTGACCTGACCTGACCTGGTGACCTGACGTTGAGAGCCCTGGGTCTGAATTTTTTTTTCACAAGATGTGCGGAAAAGATGCATGAACAGGTATGCCAAAAACGGCGGCGCTCCGAGCCGCCGTTTTTGATATATCTGCGAAGAACCGCAGGGGGGTGTTCAAACACCCCCCCCCCCGGCCCGGCGCGGGTTAAACAATGCAAAATTTCCAAGGTCAATGATCGGACCACGAACGTTTTCAGGTAAGGGTATTGATTAGAACTGAGTGATAAACGTTACGTCACTATTCACCACCTTTTAGAGGTGAGTAAACCAACCGAAAGGCCCTATTGGACCCCTCTAGGCATGTGATGTGGCCACTGGCGGTATGCAGCCTTCTAAAAGTGATAATGGCGACTATAGTCTGTTCCATATCAAGCTTGCAGTCGGAGTTTCTTCGGCAGATCGCTCCTCCGCTCAAAAATTTGCGTCTTAAAATGTAATAGCTGTATACTAGGGTGACCCGCTTGCTCCGCAACGCGAAAAGGGGTATTTTCGATCGGTGGGTGTTCGGTTGTTCTTTCGTCGGTTGGGTTATCTATCCATTTCGGTCGATTGCTTTTTGACGGCTAAACGTTTTGGTTTGTGGAAAAAAATATCCACCAGTGGCGGATCTACGTTGGGGCAAAATGGGCAATTGCCCCCCCTAAACGGAAAACCTCTGGGCAAACATATCTTTTTGCCCCCCCTAAAAAAACCTACAACTTGAATACTAAAAATATGGTGTTTGAAAAGAAAATGTGAAATAAATGGAGGACTAGAAGGTTGTCATATTCGTGATATTAAGTTGTGAGCTGATAAATTGCCTCCGAGTCCGCCCCATGAATGTCAGTCCATCATCCATCAGCAGTGCTACTACTGCTACTGCTACAAAAAAAAAAAAAAAAAAAAATAACGCGATTTATTGAAACCTTGAACCAAGTAAACAAACCGTCAACAGCAGACCGCCAGACGCCAGTGGGGACGACAAATACAGAAAGGCTCGGTCAGAGCTTTTGGTTTGCGAGGTGTTGGAGAAGCTCAGTATGTTGTGGGAACTTAACGCTGTTCAGTGTGATTCCGTTGGCTGTTGCGCTGTGGTCCTATGTAGTCTGTAGAAGCATCGTTTATCTCCTCTCGAAAGTAACACTTATTGTAGGTACCAGTAAAACGCCTTTTGGGCGAAGAACGAGCGAGCGAGATAGTGAGCCCTGCACGTGCGGAAGGGCGAGAGGGTACTTCCAACGGGCTTGTGCAAAGCACCCTTATAACCGGGCCAAATTTGACCGCAATCGGCCCAGCCGTTCCTGAGATCTGGAAGCGGCATTCTGCACATGCGCACGTGCAAACGGGGTCCAAAATGACTTTTGCACGGCACCCTACTAACCGGTCCCCAACCGTGTACCAAATTTGAGCGCAATCGGCCCAGCCGTTCTCGAGATCTGGAAACGCCCCCTGCACGTGCGCACGTGCAGTAGCACCCTAACCGCAACACATGGGAATGCATTGCCTGGTGGGTGCCTACCTGTATGCCAAGTTTCAGCGAAATCGCCCCAGCAATTAGCGAGCTACTAAAATGGGAACAAATTTGGCACCTCTTCTTTTTGTATTTTGCACGAGCAGTGGGGGGCACTCAAATAGATCAAGAGTATGCGACCTTTGGTAGAAGGGATGCAGCTACCCTATAAAAATTACCGCAAGACAATCGCTCAAGCCGCTGCTGAGATATGGGCCTCTCAAAATCACTACTTTTGCAAAACTGCTTGAACACCCTTGACTTTTCACGTGGCACGTGCCACGACGGTCACTGAGATGTATCAGAAGTAGTCAATTACGGGGTAGAAGGGATGGGGCTACCCAGCAAAAAAGACCGCAGGCCAATCGGTCCAGCGGTTGCTGAGATATAAGCCTCTCAAAAGCGTTACAGGCCGGGCCGGGCCGGGCCGCTCATACTGAGATTTTTCCGTTATATTGAAAAGACTTCGCTTCGCTCGCTGCGCTCGCTCGCTCGTAATAATTTTGCTAGCTCGCGAAGTTTAGTCCCAAAGTTAAGGAATGTTCATTGTAATTGCATCAATAAATGCAGGACCGAAAACAAATGCGCTGTTCTTCGTCTATTTCTTGTTGGGATTCTTAATCGACTGATCTCATTTTCTATTACCGGAAACAACTGTTAATACGTTTAACTACGTGGCAACCCTGACTGCGTATAGTATCGCAGGTACGCTGATGTGGCCTTTGGTCGTGGGCATTTACACATGAACCTGCTGCTGCGACCCTTATCGGTCTCCGGATACAGAAGCCCTTGAGAACCGGCGCGGGCGGACCTTTCGGACGAGGTCTTGCCGAGGTGATGCGGGAGGTAGAGGACGGACCGTCCATAGCGCCGGTGAGCTATTCTCTAACTATCTCCCGGAGTCAGGGGGGGCTGCAATTTTTTGCGCTGCCCTGGCTTGGCCGGACTGACAAAAATGTAAAAAATCAAAAAAAAAATCCCGAAATCCGAGGAGAAAAATAGGGGTAGCTCGTTTTTTTTTTTTTGTTCCTAAGACTGGACGTTTGAAATTCTCGCCGACTTGCCTGGCGGCGCAATGTTTGCCCCCCCCCCCCTAAACTCAAATCCTAGATCCGCCACTGATATCCACCGCATCGAGGTGCCCGTGTCTGATAAGCATGCTTTCCACTTCAGAATCTGTCAAATGTGCTTTATAATTTAGGCGCGTAGTTTTACGACAAATTAAAGGCGTAGATAATTTTCACTAAAAATCATTTTGCAGAGGATTGAAACATTTATGTTTTTAAGAATACTGTTGCTTGTCATGCAAACGTGATGATTGGATCTTGGAGAGAATTGAATGCTCTTTCCAATGATAGCATTTTCAATTGACAAACGTATCAGGTTAAGCAGCAAAATCCGTGTAATTATTTAGTGGCACATTTTGGAAAATACCACTTAATTCAGCGATTTTTTTCCACATTGTTTTTGATCAATTAGCTTTTCACAATTTTTCCATGAGAGACGGTACATTTTTATTGCTAATAGGCGCTGTTTCAACTCATTCCGTCTGACGATCACCTGAAATTAATATAAATTCCAAAATCCGTCCAAAACGTCCATTTTTCAAAAGAAAGTGTCCTCCCCGGTGCACGTGGCGCGTGCCAACCCCTGCACCGCAAACCATTCGATAGCCCGTTCGATTCTCTACACGATGCTGTTTTCCCCGTACCGGTCGGGCCCACGGTTACCGAGATATTGCACCGGGACCGGACCCGTGTCGGGCAAATTTGGCTGTTTTCGCCCGTTTTTGCCAGCCGATTAATACATTAAAGTATATGACGCGAATTTGCACTTTTTGGGCACGCGCCACGCGCTCGCTATCGATCCGATCGAGCTGAGACCCATCAAAGGCACGTTGTCCATCCTTGTTCTATGAGTTGCGCAAACTTCAGCGCGGTAGGTGCAACGGTGTGACCTGTAACCCGCGCTACGTAGCACCATGTCGCGACCTTCGTAATAGACAGAAACTACGTCACCTCAAATAGTAATATAGATACAGAAATCACGCACTGCTTTCAGCAGGGGACTTCGGCTGCAAACTTGAAACGGAACAGAGTATAGCGGTATCCAGCCTTCTATAAGAAATAGTGTCCACTGGCGGTATCCAGCCTTCTAAAAGAAATAACGGCCACCGGCTGCATCGCACCGCTTGATACTAGACCGTGTCCTGTATCCACCAGTCGATGGTGTGGTGTCCCGGATCCGTACCCGTGCTGTGTCCATACAGCTGTAATATAACTAATACACACTGTACAGTCTACAGTTGACGGCAGAACGATGCACCGTTTCTCAGCGGGCAATCAGCTGCCTGGAGTGGTAGGCTGTGCCGCAGCGCACGGGCTGGGGGACACATTGATCACCATAGACACACTTCATGTGTGATAATCAGTATAGCCTATCGGCTCAGTCAACTGAAGTGCTGGGCTGGTGGTGAGGGTAAAAAGTATGATTCACCCGTCCCGTGAGGGAAACGTTTCCTGGGAATTACCTGATTTTTCCTTTTACTGATAACTCTCTGGGTTTGGCTTAATTTTTACGGAACACTTATATTAGGCAATCTGAAGTTGCACGCACTTTTTATGAAGCATCCGACATTAGAGCTCCACGTCACTTCAAGTAGGTGACTTCTTTTTATCACAACTTCGATGACATTATGGAATGATAGGTATGTTCAAAGCATTGCATAATGGTCAGAAGCCTTACAATCCCTTTGACTAGTTACCGTCACGAAATGACAGCACTACATAGTGGCGCTTGGAAACCCAGTAACATTTGTGTATTGAACGTCTGAACCACTGTGTATTTCAATCGCCATCAGCCCGTGATATCCCATGAGCGACACCGAACCGGACATATCCGGTCCAAACCAACCACAGCCGACCGGACCACCGACGGTCCGACACAGTGACGGGCGAGGTCCGATATCGCCCGGACCGGACACCCTCACAGCTAGCTCCAACCACTCTCTGGTCTAAACTGAAACAACAACACAACAGCACAACGGTGTGAGCCAGCGTGACGTCACGACAACACACGTGACGTCACCACGGCGGTATCTCCGGCACGGTGACAACGGTTTACCGACGGCTGGACAGTGGCCCGGAGCGTGATACATCTCGGATACTGAATATAACTAGTGTCTATCAAAGCAGTGTCAACAAACGTAGCAATCTGTGCTCAAATGATCAAACATTTAGGTGGCCACTCAGTCCAAACCAGCCTGGTACGGCGGTAAAGTACCCGCGGACCTGAGCCGATGGGACAGGGCGGCTCAAAACAACTCTGGATAATTATGATTTATGAATTATGGAGGTCTTGATGTGCATTGTGCTCCTTACAGCGCTGCCGACGGGACACGGTGCGCCATCTGTTGTCGAGTTCCGACACTACAGACTAGACACGGTGCTGTCATCTGTTGTCGAGTTCCGACACTACAGACTAGACACGGTGCTGCCATCTGTTGTCGAGTTCCGACACTGCCACCCGGCACCGGAGCGGTCGAGGCACTGATTAGTCAGGCTTTTAGAGAGTACACGGTGATTTTGCTGCCGTTGGGTGGCTTAGTAAGCTTGTCGTATGCAGACTCTGAAAAATAGAGCACGTCAGATTACACACTGATTGCTAGTGATGTCACATCATGGGGCAACTCAGATTGGTGACGTCACTGACAGGTACAGAAACAAATACAATGACAATGTGTGTATCACTGAGTAATGACGTCATGAGGGCTGATACTGATACTGTGACGTCACTAACGGAGATACACGTCACCTATTGTGACGTCACGTGCGTCAGTGTCTGCGCGTATCAGAGAGGCCGGTGGCGCCGTGTCGGCTGGTGTGGGTGGTCAGAGACGCTGCCACTTACTGGGGACATAGAGAGTGATTGTGCGAGACTGGCCACCGTCACATCCCAGGTCTGTCTCGTGCAGGGCAGTCAGGACGGCCTGGCAGTTTTCAGTTGAGGATTTGATGTACAGTGTCTCCAGTTTCCTGCAGGTCACTGCCATCCTGTAACAGATTACAACAAAACAGAACAGGTCAGTATACGGGACACAGTCACACAGTGGCACCAGCGGGCGACTCAACACGGTTAGACCATGTAGTAATAATGCCGTTCATAACAGAACATATGTGCCTCCAGCTACCTCAAGTTCCCAGTCTCGTGCTGCAATCAGGTACGAATTCGTACCTGATTGAAACGTTAACGTTTCACACGATACCCTTAAGAGCCTTATACCACCCAATACTATGTCCAATGTCCATATCTATATTCATACCAACGAAGTCCAGATAACGTAGCTGCCCGTCCGTTTGTTCGTCTGTCTGTCTCTTTGCATGGCATCTACACAACCACCTGAATCAAAAAGTCTGCTTGTGGATACCTATTCTTCTGTAAAGAGTTTGTTACGATTTCCAGTGTCCATGTGCCCGTTATCCTATACCTCCACCGGATGCACTATCTCGGGGGTTATTGCGGTCTATCCAGATACACATAATATCCGCCGTCGCCGTCCGGCCGACTGACCTGCTGACCACTGCCACCTCTGACTGGGCCAGGGCAGGGATGTCCGTGAGGCGCCGGGTGTCATTAAGCTGCACCGTATCCAGCTGGGAGCAACCGTGGAGGGCGGACAGCACAGTTTCGGAAATGACGCCGGATCCGCCGACACCGACGCCCTTCAAGCTGGTGAGGGCAGTCAGGAGGCGTCCCGTCGCTTCCGGTGTCACAGACGGTGACGCTGTAAAACATAAAAACAGACACACATACCGACTGGAATGGCTGAAACTGAAGATTAATATATTCACAGCAAGATATGCTTAGTACTTACCGGTATGACCTTTTTTGGAAACGCACGAGCGAGAACAACAAAGGAATGGTGGTAAAGCGCAGTAGTAAGATCTAACTGCTTTATATGGGCCATCCTTCAAACCTGTCCAGAGCAACGTAGAAAACTCCAGCGCAATCCAGCCCGTCGCTCTTGAGAATGAGGTGGATAAGTGGCCCCATATTTGTTAATTGACAATTAGCATGCTCAGTAAAATATGTGTTTAACCTTCGCCCCAGTGGGGGGGGGGGGCATATGTTACCACCCTGTCGCGTTTTTGCGTGTGAATAAAAAACCACGGCGCGTAGCGCCGCGCCGCTTGGACTAGCTTTTGGTATGTCGATTTTGGACAATGTGTGAAATTTTTGACCCCAGGTCATGTCAGGTCAGGTCACCAGGTCAAGTTAACTGACCAAGCCTAAAAAATTGCAATCATGTCCAGCCTGCAGTGTTTGTCAGAAAGGTTTTAAACTTGGTGGATTGCATGTTGTTATGGGCGCCTACAATTTGCATAACTCGGATTTTTTATATCCGTGACCTAAGGTCAGGTCAGTGGCGTGACCTTTCCATTACAAGTCAATGAAGAAAAATGAAAATGCCTCTAGGTCCGTTTGTACGCATAGGAACAGTCCAAATATATCAGAATTACAATGATTTGGACCACCCGTGATGACCAATGACCATGGTGTCATTTTTGCTGATAGCCTCTAGAAAGGTCATCCGAGGTCATTTGAGGCTACAAACAGATTTTTGCCAATAACTCGCTAGTGGAAAGAGATAGAACGCTGGGGATGGTCTCATTGTCTTTGTCTTGTTGAGACGCATCGACTGATATGCAACATGACCTTTTCAGGTCAGGTCATGACCTTGACCTGAGGTCAAATTTTCAAGTTGACCTTTCAAGGTCAAATTATAGTTCATTCGACGCGTCTCGGCGAGAGGAACACGATTCTGGCAAAAGAAATGTCGTGGCTTTTTGTAGTCGAAAGTTATTGTCGAAAAAAACACTTTTCGTAAAAACAGCTATTTTTGGAGTTTTTGCCCTCTGGAGGCTAAGCCGTTGACCTGAGGTCAATTTTGATAATGACCTTATCAAAAGAAGAGGTAAAAAGCTATCTATTGCTTTTCCATGCGTTTTTCTAGTTATCATAGTTCCTGAGATATCGGCATGTTTTCTGAAAAAATATAATGACAATTGGCAAATTTTGACCTTTGATGACCTCTGGTGACCCCAATATTGCTCTAAGATGAAAAATGACTGAAATACTTTCAAACGTACGCATTAAGAGCTATCGACTGTTACCGCGTCTTTCTAGCCCTCTTAGTTTTTGAGTTAGAGGTGGGTGGTAACATATCCCCCCCCCCCCCCACTAGGGCGAAGTTGGCTGAGACCGCCACTGGGGCGCGGGTTAACGAAATGCGCTACGTTTGGTCAATTTGGTTACGTGCAGTAGTAAGCGGAACATAAGAGCCGCGTCTTCCCTACACTAGTACATACATATGATATGTCCATTGGTCAGTGGTCACGAATTTCTTGGCACTGATGCTCTGCTCGTGTTGTTGCTGCTCACCAGGTATAAACAGTCCCGTGACTGAATGGGTCGCCAGAACAGCCAGCTGCTCCAGGAGTGCGTCCGTTGCCAGCTGTATGCAGACGAAGAGTCCCTCCGGACATCTTTTCAAAGTCCAAGGTGTCCGAGTCATCCCCAACCCTGTGGAGAGGGACATAATCGCCATCAACACTGCAGGGCATATTTTAGCAAATTTTTACTGCGTCCCAAAGTTGAGCAGAGGGCACGTGCTACGACTAAGGGCACAGGGCAAGGAACAGAGTAGGGCACTGAGGAGGGCAGAAAGTAGGGCACGGCTGGTTGCAGGGCATGGCACAGGACATTTTAGAGGAAAGGCCGGGTACAGGTCAGGGCAGACCGCAGGGCACAGGTCAGGGAACCGGACAGGGCAGAGACGCAGTGGGTCAAATCAGCAGGGGCTACGCCCCAAGGCGAGGGGACTGCGTCCCAAAATGGGACGCAGTAAGTGCCTTAAAATATGCCCTGCAACACTGTGTATAGAGGAGAGCATTAGCCTGACACTATTCCAACGCTGTTTGAATTTTGGAAATCGGCCGGTAAGTTTCCGAGATCTTAGGGGGGCCGATACGCCCCTTCCCCCCCCCCCCCTCCACGGTTGGTAGGGTCCGCCGATAGCCCTACGGGTCGCGGGTTAACGTTGCGTGATCACTGACTATGTTAGGGCAAAAACGAGTGTACATTTTGTCATTCTTGCTAGGCATTGATAGCGCCCTCCTGAGCCGAAATTGGCGCCCTCACCACTTCATGACCCCTCTGAAATGTTATCCTGGCTGCGCCTCTGCGCAACGGTGCTAGAAACTCAAGCGTTCCACCAGCACCCCACGACCCTTCTCACCAGTGATGTCCAGTCTCCTCAGTGACTTGGGCAGCAGCCGCAGCCACTTGCCGGAGCTGTCCACGGGTGGGCTCACATCGAGCCGCTCCAGAGCCTTCAGCGGCTCCAGCAGCGCCTCCAGCTGCCAGTCGCTGATGCCGGCCGGCAGCGTCAGCTCACGCAGACTGGAGGCGTTGGCACGCGCCAGCCGGCGCAGGGCAGAGGCTTTCAGCTTGAAGCCGCGGAGGTTAGCCTTCTCCAGGGCGTGGCAGGTGGCCGCTGGAATAAAGCAACACCAAACAGTGAAGAAGTGATCGCTTATCATATGGACAAGGAATGACAGTTACAGCGGGACAAAGCGTCTCAGGTCGTGCGTAGTGCGCTCCACACAGGACTCACCGACCAGTCGGAGGTCGGTGTCCGTCTCAGCGGTCGGCGCCTGCAGTTCGGTCATCTTCGGCTGGTCCTGTGCCTTCAATACGAGCTCTAGGCTCGTGACCGGCGTAGCGACCTCTCCACCGCGGGTTTTCTGATCGGTTAGCTCCCGCCGACGGTCGCTGACGATATCGTCGACGGCGGACCGCCACCGACGGCAGACTGTCGGCACCGACGGTACAATGGGGATCGTGTGGCACCGAGACCTTGACGGCAGCGTCAATATTCATAACAGATAGCGTTTGTATTTGTATATATAAACAGTAGCCATTCTAAAAATATCATTCCGAGCGGCCCTAATACACATTAGAATTCCGTGCCTTTCGGCTCCTATGCTGGACTGCATGTGATATATTGTCCCATGCCGAGCTCGCCGGTTTCATATTGTCCCATGCCGAGCTCGCCGGCTCGCCGGTTTTCGCCGGTAAAGGAAGAACTCCACGAAGGACTGTAAGCATGTCATAATGAAGCATGATCATTGATCAACACTCCGTGCTACTACAATGCCCTACATACATTGCCAGTTGCTGAAGCACTCACCCCGCCTGGCGCGGAACATCTCCCAGCAGTCCATCTTGCTCAGCACCATCTTCAACAACTCGTGGTCCAAGAGGCAAATGGCAGAAGCCCATCGCGGTGCAGCCTCTGGCACGTCACCGCCCGCCGGCCCCGCCTCTTCTGCAGTTTGGGTGATGACGTCACATGTGCTGATGGTGTCACTTGTCGTGTCGCAAGTGTCGGCCTTCAGTGAAGTCCCCTCCTCGCCGTCACTGTGACAAGATGACGTCAGTGTGACGTGGTGTGACATCATTAGAGCTCTCAGGTCGGTCATTAGACAATAATTTCCAGAAGTCTCCACTTCCAAGACAGCACCGTACCATCGATCTGTGAAAGCCCATCTAGTGTCCCCTCCCCCCAATCCCTGTGCCACCCAGCAGCCTGCTGCCTCACAGTCACTCACAGACAAGTTGTCTACAAAACCGAGTTGTCTCTTACAAACTGTCTAGTGTCTACACAACCGGTTTGGGTCTTATATGTAGACAAACTGTCCATACAACCGGGTCAATATCTACAGACAAACTGTCTACACAACTGGGTTGACTCTTACAAACGAACTCTCTATATATCCGGGTTGACTCTTACAAACTGTCTACACGCACACAACCAGTTTGACTCTTACAAACTATTCACAATCCCTTGCAGTCAAAACCGACTAACTCCCACTGTTAACCCCCTAACGTCATCCCAACGACTAACCCCCAGTGCCACCCCTGCTGCCTCTCAGTCCCACCTCTGCGAACGGTCGGATGGCGCCGCTCGCCGGCGGACCTCCTGCCGCAGCTCCTCCACGACGACCTGGCGAGTGGTGCGCTCCTCGAGGACAGCCTGCCGCAGGCGGATCACCTCTTCACGTAGATGGACCACCTCCTGACGCAGTGTAGTGTTGTCTCCCTTCAGTGTGGCGTTGTCTCCCTTCAGTGTGGCGTTGTCTCCCTTCAGTGTGGCCACTTCTCCCTCCAGGCCGACCACCTGTTCACTCAGTGAGTCGCAGTTTTTCTTCAGAGTGGTCAGTTCCCCATCCAAACGGGCAATGTCCTCTTGATGGCGATGTGTCAGTTCCTCCTTCAGTCGTGCCATCTCTTCTTTCATCTGGATAAACTCCTCTTGGAGCTGCCTGGGCTCCATTTCTAAAACAGAGAACGTACGGTATGTAAGACTGAGAGAACGGTGTCACCTGAAACAGTCTAATGGTCGTAAGGGCATGTGTCTATGGCTTCACTGGCGGATCCAGGGGGGGGGGGGGCCACCGGGGCCATGGCCCCCCCCAAAAGCCTGAAAGGGGGGGCCAACATATCTTTTGGCCCCCCCCCCAAAACGCTTGGAGAAAAATTAATGTGAGAAGGTTGCGTAGTAGATACCTACTAGAATCAGCAGCGTGATTCAATAGCGTAGAGAAAGTCAGGGGCGCGGGAACTACTTTCAGACTGGGGGAGCACACCATAATAGAGATCAACCTAGGGTCCCCCCAAATCTAGTTTTCTCACCGGTTTTAGGCCACTTATTTTTCATCCCTTGGCTTTTTCAACAAAAAAAGAAACAGTTGCAAAAAAAGGACGGTATTCCGTTTGAAAGTTGTGGGGGCACCCACTGGCGGATTCAAGGGGGCCACCGGGGCCATGGGCCCAAAAAGCCTGAAAGAGGGGGCCAACATATCTTTTGGCCCCCCAAAACGCTCGAAGAAAAATTAATGTGAGAAGGTTGTGTAGTAGATACTTACTAGAATCAGCAGCGTGATTCAATAGCGTAGAGAAACCCAGGGGCGCGGGAACTACTTTTAGACGGGGGGGGGGGGAGGTCACACCATGATAGAGATCAACCTAGGATCCCCCAAATATAGTTTTCTCGCCGGTTTTAGGCCACTTATTTTTCATCCCTTGGCTTTTTCAACAAAAAAAAAAGAAAACATTTGCAAAAAGGAGCGGTATTCTGTCTGAAAGTTGTGGGGGCACCGCCCGCACGGCCCCAGAGTTGGGGGGGGGGGGGGGCAAGCTGCCACCACTGCCCCCTCCCCCCGGTTCCCGCGCCTATGGAGAAACTACCGGGTTTACTAGCTTCCTTCATAAAGTGTCGTCATGTCTTATCGTCACCCGAGAAGGTCTTATTGCATAAATATCGATTGAGCTGTCAAGTTAACAAACTTGCTGTGGCAGCCTGACCTGACATGACCCGGCAACTTTTCATTCACGGAATATGCGCAATAATTTTTTTTAGGAAAACTCACTGAGTTTTCGTTGAAAAAAACTTGTTTTGTTTCGTAATTGTACAAGAAGCATATGAGGGACCTTTTTGTCCCTTCCTGCGAAACGGTAAAAGACTTATTTCGGTCACAGCTCAGGCCAATCTCTAAGGGTCAGTCGGGTCACTTATTTCTTAAAAGGGTCCTTACGGCATCCAAGGACCAATTCCGGCTTTTGAGTGCATTCAAATGCACATCAGCATTTGATGCTACGACAGATGTCGAAATCTGAATATATGTTACAGGCCGTATGAAAATTCGGTCCGTTTGCAAACGGCCTGGCCCAGTCAGGCCATATGAAACTACCTGAAAACACCGGCCGTTTGCAAACTATGACCTGAAATATCAGACCGTTTGAAAACGACCTAGTTAGTTTCGGCCTAGCGGATCCAGGGGGGCCACGGGGTCATGCCCCCAAGCCTGAAAGGGGAACAACATATATTTTTTGTCCCCAAAAACACTTAAGAAAAATGAATGTGAGAAGGGCGTAGTAGGTAGAGAGAAAATACCGTATCATTAAAAATCTGTGAGCTTGATAAAAGTGTTGGTCTTGTCTTCACCCAAGAAGTTCTTATTGCACACTTTAACCATGGATGAAAGAACCTTCATCCCCTGGTTCTCCTTCATCCATGCTTTAACTCTCGATCGACGTGTGAAGTTATCGTGTAAGGTATCATGAAGCCGATCGCGACGAAACTTTAGTACCCTCATGGTGACAAAGTCTGAAAATTTCATGACCCTGACCCAAGTGAACTTTGACTTGTGGCCTATTTCTCGAGACTGTTTGGCCATGTTGGAGGCCATGTTTGGCCGGAATAGCGATTCGGCGTATGTCGGCTCACATTATCCGCGCTTTTATAGTCTTTTCGTGGTTTAAAACGCTCAAACATGTGAAATGATGTTGCTCCCACGCATTAGGGCGGATGCCAATGTCACCTTACGGTCAAGTCAGGTCATTGACCTTTGATGACCTCGGTGCACTTTTCCGAGTTTAACATGTTTCTAAGATAGTTTCGTTTAGCTGATTTTGAATTTAGCATTTTGCAGCCATTTGAACATTTACGAAGTAGTTTTGATGCCTTCGTATCATGTTACGTAGCTGCCAGTGGTAGTGGACACCTGCTATACGGACGCCCATAAGTACTCCTACTGGTTGATCTGACCTGACCTGCCCCGACATGGTCTAAACGCATGAAGACATTATCTATGATCCAAACTAACATGAAATTTGTGATCAGCACAAAAAAAAACGTATTACAGCCTTACTTTAGGAGGTTCTGACAGGTCCTGATTTTCCCGTCTTTTGGGTCTGTGACCTGACCTGGGCGGTGTTTCACGGCACGCTGCCAGCCGCTGCCAGCGCTGATGGCACTTTTGGTTTCAATGGAGACATCAACAAGCCTATACCCACAACACTACCGAAGGCTGACCTTAGCTCGCGGAATGCGCTGTCAGCGGCTGTCAGCACGACCGTGAAACACCGCCCTGGAAGGTCAACCAATGACCAAGGACCTTAAAATCGGGTATCATCGGCTTCGTCTCGTCACTCACGGGCAACACGCCTGTTTTTTTTTTCCGCGAGCTCTAGCTTAACCCGCGCCGGGCCGGGGGGGGTGTTTGAACACCCCCCCTTGCGGTTTTTCGCAGATATCTCAAAAACGGCGGCGCGGAGCGCCGCCGTTTTTGGCACACCTGTTCGTACATCTTTTCCGCACATGTTGTGAAAATGTCAGACCCAGGTCACCCTAGGTCAGGCCACCAGGTCACGCCAAGTGACCTCACCTCAGAAAAAAATAAGAATGCTCGTCATAGCTACACCGACTGAACGATTGCCTTGAAAATTTCAGCGATTGATTAGAACAACACTATCTATAAAATGTATATCTCGGAATTTTGATATCGGTGACCTAAGGTCAGGTCAATTTTGCGGCCTCTCCATTATAAGTCAATGGGAGAAAATTGAAAAGCGTCTGTTTTGCACGAACGCTATTCTAGACACTCTCAAACATCGAGATGTAGGTAAAATAGACACACTGAACCAAAAAATGGCAACTGTGACCCCTCGTCATGTCCCCGAGGTCATCTCAGGTCACGAACAGAATCTAACAGTTTTTCGATGATAACTTCTGATAGAGGAGCGCTAGAGCGCTGAAAACGCCTTAGATGTGTTCGGCTCGACGTTGCGGATCGACTGATATGCAACATGACCTTTTTCGGTCAGGTCATGACCTTGACCTGAGGTCAAATTTTCAAGTTGACCTTTCAAGGTCAAATTATAGTTCATTCGACGCGTCTCGACGAGAGGAACACGATGCTGGCAAAAGTAATGTCATAGCTCTTTTGAGTCAAAAGTTATTGCGGAAAAACCGATTTTCGTAAAAACGGCTATTTTTGGAGTTTTTGCCCTCTGGAGGCTAAACTGTTGATCTGAGGTCAAATCTGAGAACATTACTCAGAAAGTTCCGTAAAAGGGCTATTGAATGCGTTTTTTGCGGCGCTGTAGCTCTATCGGTTCCCCAGATAGCCGTTGGCAGTTTCCAAAATGTTGAAATAGTCAACATTTTACCTTTGGTGACCTCTGGTGACCTGACCTTTGACCTGGCCCAAAAAATGATCAAAGTGTTTTCGTCCTCATTTTTGACGTTCTTTCGATTGCCGCTTACTGCGTGTCGCTACGGGGCCCAGGAGCCGAGTTAGAAGGGGGGGGGTGTTCAAACACCCCCCCGCGGCCCGGCGCGGAATCTCAGAGCACCGGCCCGGCGCGGGTTAATCAGGGGCCGAACGGCAGGGGGTCCAACCGACACCTCCCAGCCCGCGAAGGCTGCGCCACGCACCGACCCGGAGCGGGCTAATTGGTCGACAAAAGCAATTTGAAGTGTTTTCAAAGTAATATTTAGGCTCGGGTTGAGTGGGCTACCATTTCTATTTTTTTATTTTTAGTTTAAAAAAATATCATTTCAGGGCTGTGACGAAAAAACAAGTGGCCTAAATCCGATGAGAAAACAGGATTTGGGGGTACCCTAGGTTTGGTTACTTGCAGGAGTTGCCCCCCCCCCCAAAAACGCAAGTCTGGATCCGCCAGTGTATGGCTTTTCTGTGAGTTTATGATTTTTTAACACATACCGTTGTTGGTCGGAAACTCAAGAGTCATGACGTCACTAAAACCTCAATCTTAATTTTCCCCACCAATTTGTTTGAAATTTCATCGCAATGAACTTCAATGGATTCCCTACATGCAACCAGAATTTGGCGCTCCTGCGACGCGGCCGTTTTTTTAAGCGCGGCGAAAAAAAAGTGGGGGGTTAACTCATCCAGCAGCTCACGGGTAAAGTAACGAAGTTTTCGAGGCACTATGATGCGGTACGTATAGAATAACCCCTTTCCTCAGCCCTGATCTGGCCAGTCCCCCGGCCCTCTCATAACGAGTGGATAGGGGAGATACGACTCCTGGCGAGGCCTTTATAGAGCTACTTTTATACGTCAGAGGCTGGTGTAGGCGTGCTGCGTGAGCCACAGTTGGTTCGTACGAAGTTTCATGTCTGTTTTTCCCCACCCGCCGTGAACTGAGCAGAGGGTGTTCACGGAATCTCTCGCCGATCACTTCCCTCCACAACCTCTCCCCATCCCCCCCGCTGACCCCCTGACCCCTGTCTACCCCCGATACCGAGCACCGGCCACCCGACCCTCGGTGTCGTGTCTCCGTCGGCTGACTCGGCCGTGGATCAGCTCCGTGTCCGTGTGTTCAGTCAGCAGAAACACCGGTAGAGAGCAACACTGGAGCCAGAGAGAGAGAGAGAGAGAGAGAGAGAGAGAGAGAGAGAGAGAGAGAGAGAGAGAGAGAGAGAGAGAGAGAGAGAGAGAGAGAGGGAGGTAGACACGGCCCGCTGCGACGGTCAAATCTCAGAAGCGTGGTCCAAATGGAAGGACTCGATTCCCAGTAATCACTCCGTTGGTGAGTCGCGGCCTTCCTTCGCTGTGGATCAGTGATCAGTGATCAGTGAACCCATCAGTGATGTTCATCCCAAATTATTGGAAAGCCAATACCAAACCGGGATGGCAATGGTCTGGATTCATTATACCAAAAACGTTGGTATCCGATTGACATCTCTTAGTTATAATCCATCCGTTCCTGACATAAGGTCTGCTATTAGGTAACCAGGGGTCAGCAAGAGACATTATAGCTATTCAACGCTATTTTCTAACATCCTGACAATAACTTAAACGATTCTATGTATAGAACGTAATAATTAAGATAAAAGTCACATAGGAATAACACCCCGTCAATAACTATAACGATTCTATAAAACGTAATAAGATAAAAGTCACATAGGAAATACGTGGTCAAATCTGACCTGACCGGTATATAGCGCCGTGACCAGACCAAACTCCTCAGACGAGCTCCTCATCCTGGTAGCTGAGACGTCTCCATGGCAAACGCCAGCCAGTCGCGCCCAACGGCAGAGAGGGACTTCCCCTCTCCCACGCGCAGCGGGGCGAACCGCGCCAGGGGGACTTCCCCGTTCAGGAAAACTGAAGCCGAGTGTCCGTTGTTTTTTTAGATAAGTACGCTCCTTACCATGTTTTTACATGTCCTGATTATTGAAAGAGTTGTAAACGTCACGATAATCCATCCAGGCCCTGGTCTCAACTCTCAGGCCTCCTTATCAGCTTCACCTAGCCCGGCCAAAACTAGCCCTGCCTGACTAATCTTTACCTAACCCAACCACTCACTTCACCCTGCACCCAAGACTCTATATCAGTGGTCGGCAGGTCATTCGGGGTCGTGCCCCCTTTTTGGGCGCCAGGCAGGGCCACTACCCCCACCTACCAGACCCCATTGCTGACACAACCAAGTTTACTGAAATTCCATACCGTCCTGAAACTCTTTGGGTATTTGTGCATTTCCAATGCATCAAATTTAAAACACGACACTTTCTCCACAAAACATTTAATACCTATATCCCAGTAGCGGCGAAACACCTTCAATTAAGGGGGAGGGGGGGGGGGGGCACTGCCGACTTTTGGTCCCATTCTTTCCATGCAACGCCCATAGGGCTAATGTTAAAATGCAAAAATCAAAGGGGGTACGGTGCCCCGGTGCCCTCCCCGTTCCGCCGCCTATGCTATATCCCATTTAACCATTGTACGTATAGGGGCGGCGGGTGGTTTTTCGTTAAAAGCTCACGTAAAAGGCATTGGATCACGACCAAATTGTACCCTCGAGCCCATCATTTTTTGTTTCACCAGCCCGGAAAATATCATGACCTGAGACCAGTTTTACCAACCGAAAAATGACCGCCTGCCGGAATTTTTGCCTCAAGACCGCTTCACATACGGAGCGTAAACGCGATGGGCTCGTAAGCGGATAGGGCTTTACCGTTTACGCTCCATATGTGAAACGATCTTTAGGCAAAAAATTCCGGCAGGCGGCTATTTTTCTGTTGGTAAAACTGGCCTCTGGACCCATAATGACCGTTGGCTTATGAGCTTTTTCTGGAGATCATCTTGAGCCATAAAATCTCACTTCAAGAAGTTATAGCGGGTCCCGATTTTCTCGGCACTTGTCATTGCCCTCTTGAATGAGACGGAATGACTAAGGACATTAAAAATGGGCAGCAGTGGCTTCCTATAGTCACGGGTATTACGCTCGTTTTGTTATGCACAGCTCCATCCCAGAGTCCGAGGCCGCGGGGTCCGATCGACTCCTCCCCCTTACGTTAGCGGCTGTTGAAACGCCAACAGACGCGCGACGGTTAAAAGTTGCAGCTGCTTTTGTACGACTGTACGGAAGGGTGAGATGGTGAGGCGAGCAGGTACGTGAAAATTGGTATCTAATCAATGTGTGCTGTGCCTTTGGCCTGGGCTAATCTTTGAACCCTGGGATGCAACAGTCACGATGGCTCCATCACTGGAGCTACAAACTCTAAAAAGATAGGCTTTCTCAGAATCCCTCATTACCCCCACCGAAAGGGCTCCATTACCCCCAAAGGGGGCATGCCCCACCATTTGCCGACCCCTGCTCTATATTGATATACCCCTACAACTACCTAACACTGAATAACTACCACTGGCAGAAAGCTATCCAGCAGATTACGTCAGACTGATGGGGATGTGTCACGTGACCTACTCACCCCAGCGGATTACCAGTGTTGGATGCGCTGATAAACATCGGTATTTAGATTTAGGGCATGGAACAGAACAGAATCTATGCTTGTTCAACTGTTGGAGCTCAGCATTCGGCCATACCTTCAACCGGGTACCGTGCCGCTGAGAAAGAGCCCCTGGAAAATACCCACAGGCCACACAAAGACCACACTGTTTAGCCAGCCCCCCCCCCCCCTCATCCCCACAGAGATGTGTGACCGTCTGTGTCACCCCTTCCCTGACCCCTCGCTTTTTGTTTGTTTGTTTGTTTTGTTGGGTTAGGCCCTTTCGGTCGACAAGACCATTGCAGAGCCGGAAGGATGGTAGGAATTAGGGGGAGACATTGGTCTGGGCAGGCACCCTAGTGAGTCGCCGGGGCTGAGCCCGTCCAAAGGACAGGCCACCCAGCCCCAAGGCACTCACTGCACCCGGCTACGGGGTGCGCTCCCTCAGGAGCAGCGGTGCCGCTCCAAGGGAGCAGCCCGCATGAGATAAAGTTGCCTGTCCAGCCCGGAGGGGGGTTGCGGCGTGGAGGAGAAGGATTTCAGCATCCTGAGGATAGAAGCACGGAACGGTGCCCTCGCTTTGACCTCACCTCGTCTCCTCTGTCCGTACCGCCGTCTTCGCCGTCCGTATTTCTCCGTCTCCACTTTCCGCACCCCCACCTCCTACGCCACACTTCCAGCAGCCACTGGCAGTCCCAAGGCCGTCGCTCGACCGTCGGCCGCCTCTGGTTCCGACAATCGCCGATAGGTGGCAGCAGGAGGTCCCGGGCTCAGTCTGCCGTATATGGTTCCGACTAGTGATGTCAATTACGGAAAATCGTGATACCGATACCAAACCAAATACCAACAAAAACCATGAGAAAATACCGAAACCGAACCGACTTTGGAAAATGCGAAAAATACCAACTTTTTACCAAATTAGCTGCCTCTTTTACATTAGTCAGGATTCATAATATCAACAAAATACCGAAAGCCTTAGTATTGAAATACCAAATACCAAGTTGGCATCGGTTTGGTATCGGTATTCGGTATACCAAAAAGTTGGTATCCGATTGACATCTCTAGTTCCGACAACCGCCGATAGATGACAGCAGGTTTCCAACAGTCTGTCAGTCCGTGGCGTTGAATTTTAGGCCTTTAACTTTTGATTTTTACCTTTTAAATTTTACCAGTCGTGCGGTTCGCTCCCCAAAATTCAGAGTATTTAAAGGTACATCCACAATGCAGTGGCTCTTCCGCACCCGAGTCACCTTACGACTACGTCAGTGGAGGTAAAACCAGGGTATAGGGCAAAACAACGGTGAGGCTAAGACAGATAAACACAAACACAGTACCATTCATTCACTCCTTGCATTTACTTATCAGCCATCAGTCCCAGTACCACAACAGTACCACGTGTACAGCAGCAACTGCTTAAGATGGCGTTTGAAGGCACATTCGGTGAGGCATTTAAGCTCGCTCGGGAGCTGGTTAAACATTGCACTGCAGTGTGCTAGCCGCCTGGCGCCGGAGCATGTCTATTCTCTGGCAGTGCAGCAGTCATAGGCGGCGGAACGGGGAGGGCACCGGGGCACCGTGCCCCCTTTGATTTTGACATTTTAACATTAGCCGTATGGGCGTTGCATGGAAAGAATGGGACCAAAAGTCGACAGTGCCCCCTTAATTGAAGGTGTTTCGCCGCTACTGGCATGCAGCTGGCCGATCTGGCGAGTAGGATGTGGAGTACCTACAGACATACGAAAACATGGCTGCAATGTCGGCAGGTAATTCAGTATCTAGAGCGACTTAACCCTCGCCCTGGCAGGGGGGGGTCGATGCGACCCCCCCCCCCCTAAGGTTTTTCGAAGATAGCGTAAAAACGGCGGCGCGCAGCGCCGCCAAATTTGGCACAGCCTATGGGGCAACCTTTTTACATATGAACTGAAAATTTCAGGTCCGGGTGACCCTGGGTCAGGTCAACAGGTCAGAAAAACCGGTACAAGGTCATGGTCAAATTTCAATTTTCTCTTTGCACCTGTCCAACTCACAGTTTTTGACTGGTTTCCTTCAAACTTTCAGGATGTGCTAAGTTCACCGAGTTGTATAACATATAGTTCGGGTTTTTTGAGGTCACTGACCTGAGGTCAGTTAGAGGTCATTACGTCGTAGTGTTAAGCCTATGGGAAAATACTAAATTCGGAAAATACTGGAGATATCCGCTTCGTTCTATCGCTTTTGTGCTTTGAAACCACAGTACATAACAGCAGGTCACTTGGTGCTTCTTTGTTTGGTGTACTTATCCATGGGTCAGGTCAAATGAGGTCAACTGAGGTCAAATCACATTTTTGCCAATAACTTGGCACATATTGACGCTAGAGCTTAAAAATGGTGTCATTGTGTTCCTTGTGATCAGCCGAATCGAATGATATGCAATATGATGCAATTTGGTTAACTTGAACTTAATTAATTAATTAAAGTTTACTTAAAAATTAAGAAAAACTTTAAGTACACTTAAGCAAGCTAAAAAGTACATCATTCGACGCGCCTTGGCGTGCTGAGTTCACTGGTGCTTTTCTTTTTGCTCTATCTTAAATAGATCAAAAGTTATAAGCGAAAAACTTTTGACCTGTTTTTAGCGAAATTTTGACATTTATACCCCCCAAAACCCCCCTAAATATTGACCTAGAGCAACCAAATTTGCACAGGGGCGAGAACTCCAGGGGGTTCACCTACCTACCAAATTTGGTGTTTCTAGGTGCCATAGGAGCCAATCGCGAGGGGGGGTCGCATCGACCCCCCCCCCTGCCAGGCCGTGTTATGAAAAATGCCCTGCCAGGGCGAGGGTTAAATCAAGTCTATGGTAGCTCACGAGGAGTTTAGCGCGTAACCACCCGAGTTGATTGAACACGTCAGAAATGTGATCAAATTTGTGCCGGCCGCTCACAACACGAGCACAAAAATTTAACAGTTTCTGAATGTGGTGCATTTCTGTTATAACGCAGCGGCAGGACCCGTAGATGGAGATGCAGTAGCAAATTGAGCAAACCACAAGCGCGTTCACAATGTAAGCAACGGTCCGGCAGGTATGCCATGCTTGGAATGGGACAGCGAACTCAAAAGACCGGTACATTTGCCAACCAGCTGGCTAACATCATCCCCGAACGTCAGATGTCTGTCCATAGTGAGGCCGGGGTTTTTACAACTTTGTTGTGCGGCTTTCAGAAATGATCGACTGGCCAAACTTAAAGGGACCCTCCCACCTTCAAAAAAGTTAATGAATTGGCATGAAAGTGATTTCGCTCGGTTCAGAAAGAGCGAAAACGAATATCTACCAAATTTCACCGAAAAATATTCACCGGTTTTCAAGATATTAGACTTTTACATTTGTTTACTTTTTTGGGATCTCCGCTGTTTCTAGCGACTTTATTTTAGAAGTGCGGCGTTTGCGGCAGATGTTGCGCGCAAATAGCATATACCACCGCGTGCTACAAAACGTTTTAGTCAAACATTTAAAAATCGTTAGATATCTGCGCTGACGTCACACATTCAGAGGGGTATTCCTAAGCATTAGCCCCTCTGAATCAAAATGCTGCAATTTTGAAATTCAATATTTCCGATTTAAGGCATTTCTCGATGTTGTGAGTGCCGAAACCGGTAATTGTGAGCCAGGGACCCCATTTTGGCTATCTCAACTCAAATCTAATGTTAAGGTGGGAGGGTCCCTTTAATCTGAACTGGCTGAATATCCTGCAAAGCTATTTTGGTGCCATGAACAATAAGTTGAGTTTTCGCTTGATTGATTTTCATGCCATATTGGTTCTCGATTTATCGGCTGGAGACGTTAAACACACCCACTGAACTCTAATATATACTGGAAGGAGCATTGGTGGCTTGTTTTTGTCTGTCGATTTCCGCCATGTTGTGTATACCAGATATATAAATTGCATTACGGTAGCAGAGGTGCAGTTTAGTGAGAGGTACACTTCTCAAAAGTGCTGCTGCTTCATATTTGCAGTTTGATTGCAGCGATCAACTTTTCAAGACTTTGGTATACACAACATGGCGGAAATCGTTAGACATTCTGGCCCATATACGGCCAAGGCGAGTGCTTCCCCCTGTATAACACACCCCTCCTCCCCAGCAAACGGCGGGTGGCGGAATACCCCAGCAACTGCCGCGGCAGTTCTTTAACCCGGCATATGCCGGGTTATTAGGTTATTAAGAAGAGTTCACAAATCACACACTATGGAATGGCACTCGAGAGTATCTAATACATACTTGAAACTTCAACATAGCTGTAGTAGATATCGCTATTATTACGCAACATTAGGAAGTATGTGGCACGATCCAAGTGAACTTTACGCTCGTGGCTGGCAAGACACCAGAATTATCAAGGGTTAACTCGCGCCCTGCTGGGGCTTATGGATTTCCACCACGCCCGCAATTGCAGGAAAAAACCACATGGGGGTGTTAACCCCTTACCAGAAGGGGTTACTACCCTACCAGTAGTTACTAACCTACCAGTAGTATGGACTAGTGATCCCAATTACGGAAAACCGTGATACCGTGATACCAGGGGGAGGCACTTGCCTTGGCCATATATGGGCCAGAATGTCTAACGATTTCCGCCATGTTGTGTATACCAAAGTCTTGAAAAGTTGATCACTGCAATCAAACTGCAAGCATGAAGCAGCAGCACTTTTGAGTAGTGTACCTCTCACTAAACTGCACCTCTGCTACCGTACATGCAATTTATATTTCTGGTATACACAACATGGCGGAAATCGATAGACAAAAACAAGTCACCAATGCTCCTTCCAGTATATATTAGAGTTCAGTGCGTGATACCGATACCGAGCCAAATACCAACAATAGGTAGGATCCATGGAAAAATACCGAAACCAAACCGACTTGGGGATATGAGAAAAATACCGACTTTTAACCAAATTCTCAGCCTCTCTTAACGCCTGGCTACACTATGCGTTTTCTGTGAGCGTTTTTTTCGGGTTTGCGGGTTTTGGGTAATATCGTTCTAGAATAAAAAACGTTATTACGTTTTTGTGATGTTTTTATTTTAAATATTAGTTATTATAATAGTTATATTAACTTTAGTACATAACTAATGCACAACTAATTTAAAAGTTGTATTATTACGAGCGAGCGAGCGCAGCGAGCGAAGCGAGTCTTTTCAATATAACGGAAAAATCTCAGTATGAGCGGCCGGCCCGGCCTGTAACGCTTTTGAGAGGCTTATATCTCAGCAACCGCTGGACCGATTGGCCTGCGGTCTTTTTTGTTGGGTAGCCCCATCTCTTCTACCCCGTAATTGACTACTTTTGATACATCTCAGTGACCGTCGTGGCACGTGCCAGGTGAAATGTCAAGGGTGTTCAAGCTGTTTTGCAAAAGTAGTGATTGTGATAGGCCCATATCTCAGCAGCTGCTTGGGTGATTGTCTTGCGGTAATTTTTGTAGGGTAGCTGCATCCCTTCTACCAATGGTCGGACACTCTTGATCTATGTGAGTGACCCCCAATGCACGTGCAAAATACAACAATAAGAGGTGTCAAATTTGTTCCCATTTTAATAACTCGGTAATTACTGGGGCGATTTCGCTGAAACTTGGCATACAGGTAGGCACCCACCAGGCAATGCATTCACATGTGTTGCGGTTAAGGTGCTACTGCACGTGCGCACGTGCAGGGGGCGCTCCCAGATCTCGAGAACGGCTGGGCCGATTGCGCTCAAATTTGGTACA